CACGTTTTGGTCAAACCTGAGAAAACGTAACCTAAGGGCGTCCTTCTGGCACAGGGCGGGAAGCAGAGCAGTCGAGGGTCGGTGCAGAACTCACCTCAGACCCTGCGAGGCTACAGACTCGGCCTGAAACGCCCCTCCGTTTCCGGTGTTCGGGGGCGGGGTGGATGTTCGGATGCTAGGCAACCGCCGAGGGAAGCAGCTTGCTTGGGTGGAGCCCTGGGCGTAGGGAAAGCAGCTGAGTAACTTGTGAGTCACTTGGAAGTTTGCAATGGCAAGGACCACTCTTGTTACAGACGTGTTCTAACGGTGCCTTTGAAGTGCCAGAAAAAAGTGATTAGAGTCCTAAGCAGCAGAAACTTAATGAGGTTATTAGGCCTGTAGATGTTGCGGGCAGTTAATTGCCTACGTTCAAGTCTGGCACCCTAGTGGTTTTTTTGTTTGTTTGTTTTTTACTTGGTTTTGTTTTGCTATGCAGTGTAGAGGCCGTGTACCTGTTTGATGGTTTGGTAAGTGAGAATATCTACCTCCTACAGACGGGGAAATTAAATGATAATTTATGAACGGCAGTAAGAACAATTCAACTACCCAAAAAAATTTAATGGCGTTTTTTATTCAAGCATACTCGTCATCCCCTAATTGACCTAAAGCTATGTATCACAAGCTTTTATCCCTTACCTTTCTTCCCAAAAGCTCAGATTTTTTTCAAAATGGTGCTATGTCCTACAAAATTTCACACAGCCTAAGCCATAAATACCAGAAAACATGGAGTCTTCACATATGACTATTAATAAATATTTCACTCCTAAATGTTTAAGAAACATGAATTAACCTTACCAACTTCAGGACACCAACAACAGAATTTATGATTTTATGATGCAGGTGCTACTTGCCAGCGCACAGATCACTCTGCCCACTAATTCTCACTTTTTCCCTGGTAGGAGTTGATCTCACTGCAAAAAGGGACTTTCTTGCCTTGACACTTGAAACAATGCACACTCTGCATATCCCGGATGCCTTGAGGCATAAGGATGAGGTATTTTTATGAGTTAAAATCAGCTGCTCCCAAATCCTTTTATTATTACAACCTAATCTTGGAGCTGTGTTTTTGCTAGTTACGTAAAGGAAAACAATATCTTGCCTTGCAGATGTTCTGACTTGTTTGTATGTGAAGCCGGGTGTATTAAAGCAAGACTGACCAAACTTTCAAAGGGCCTCTGGACAGTTCCGGGAAAGCCTGTCAGTTCAGAACTGTGCGTTTGTTGACCTTTATTTGTCTGTGTGTTTTTAAGTGTCAGTGCTCTTCCCACGTGTTTGTATTTCACTTACCATCCTCAATTTAGTGCCAAAGATCTGGAATATGTATAAATTGCCCTATTCAAATGGAGATGAAGCTCTGTGGTAAGATGCTTGCCTGTCAATCATGAGACCCCATGTTTGAGCATTAGTCGGAAGAAAAAAACTAAAAATATCCATTAAAGTTTTCATGTGTCTTTAGACAAATATTTCCATGTCTTTAGTGACCTGAAATCTATTTGCCTACAAAGAATTTAGTGTTTGTCACATAAGATGTTTGCATTTTCAAGTGAAATTTTCAAGTAGTAGAAAGTGCTGCCTTGTGAGCCAGACAACAAAGGCTCTTTACCCAACCATAGAGAACAATGGGGAATTGTCCTGGGACTCAGGGATAATAGTAATTAATTTTATCCTAAGTCAGGCTCTCTCTGTGTTTTTAACTTTCTGTAATTCCCAAGGCTACTATTGACTCCTTCATTATTCATCAGGGAGTGGTAAAATGTGTCTTCCATTCTAGCCTATGATTACTGTTGATGGCATGATGACATATGCCTAGAAATTTATAAGATTTTTTGTTTTAGTATTCATTTTTAAGTGCATGAAAACAATAGTATATAGTCTTTCTTCTTATCCCTCACCTCCTCCCTTCCTCTCTCATTTTTCCCATGCAACAATAAAGGTATTTTAAAACACAATTAAATTTTTCAGGAGATTTCTTTTTCTTTTAACCTTGCAGCTTTAGCATTTAAAAACAAAAACCTAGCCAGGCATTGGTGGCACACGCACTCAGGAGGCAGAGCAAGTTCCAGGACAGGCTCCAAAGCAATACAGAGAAACCCTGTCTCAAAAACAAAACAAAACAAAACAAAACCCTAGCATTAACTCAGGATAATTTGTTTTATTTCATAGACTTTTCTATATGGACAAAATTTTTGAGCCAGGTGTTGGTGGCTCATGCCTTTAATCCCAACACTTGGGAAGCAGAGGCAGGCAGATATCTAAGTTCAAGGCCAGACTGGTCTACAGAGCAAGTTCCAGGATATCCAGAGCTTCTAAACAGAAACGTTGTTGAAAAGTTTCTGCACCCCAATAAGTCTGTCTGCTGACAAAACATTCCAAATCAGACCAAATCAAACCAAATTAGAAAAAACCCATGTTTAATAGGTACAACACTCCCAGATAGCCTTCCAGCTCCCCAGAGAGGAGACGGGAAAGAGACCAGAAAACCATGGGGGACAGTTTAAATACCCTGTGGGAGTGGTCTTGAGCATCTCTGGGGGAGGGGGGTCACCATTTGCGGGCTTTTCTGAGATGCAGCAGGTTTGGAGAGAGAGAGCAGAGGCAGCTTAGGGTAGAACTTCCACAAGAACATTCCAGACTCTTCCGGTATATAGATGCCAGGAGCTAAGGTGAAGCTTCCACCAGAACACTTGTCTCAGGAAAAAAAAAAAAAAAAGAAGAAGGAGGAGGAGGAGGAGGAGAAATCTCATGATGATATAGCTAGTATCTAATGGGTGTTTTTTTTCTTAAGATATAAACACTTGAAAACTTTGATTAAACCTTTTATGTGAAGAATTGCAAAAAAAAATCCACATGATTAAGTTGATGTGTAGAAAAATTCAGTAAAATTTCTAAACTATTTACTCTGACATTTTCTTACTTGTATGTAAGTGGAAATACCTTACTAAAGGTACAAAAACTCTTGTCTAGGTTTCTCTTGCCAGTGGCATCTTATAGACCCAGCAAGGGTGTAGAGGTGTTCTTAAGTTTCCTGTTCAGAATAACTATGTGTTTCTTGTTCTTTCTCTGTTAACTAAAGATCTTGTGGGGAGTTAAAAGGGGGGTAATTAATCTACTATTAGATTATCAAATACCCTGTTACCAAAGGAAACTCTGTGCATATTTTTTTACTATTCTTCAGCTATATTAATCATGAAGGAATTGTATTTTAAACCCCAAGGTGCAAGGGCTCTTAGTCGTTTTAGGCATCCCTAAGAATTCTGCCTCACTAAGTAGGATGGGTACCTAGAATGAGGAGATACAGTGATGAGAGTCAATGTTAGCACTGCAATGAAACCTTTCCAACACAAGGCAACTGGGGGAGCTTCAGATAACTAAGGTGCAGAATAATGAAGTGAACAAAACCCCAAAGTGCTCCCTCCCCAGT